CACACACACACACACACACACACACACACACACACACAGGTTGCCCAACTATACATTTGGGGACATTCCATTGACTTCCATTACATTTCTACAGCCTAACCCTGACCACAAACCCTAAGGCTAACCTCACAGATACCTACCTGACCCTAAAACTAACCTAAACTCAATTCACACCTTGGTCCTAAACCAAACCCTCAACCCACCAATGGCATTTAAACCAAACAGGGACTCGACTTAAGTCCCCAAAAGCACCAGTTGTCCCCAAATGTACCGGTAGGTGTTTTGTCATAAAATTGCCCCCAAATATCACCAAAAACAAACCTACACACACACACACACACACACACACACACACACACACACAAATGTCCAGTCTGTTAGGATCTTCAAGGACATGAATTCTGTTTCATTACTGAAGAGACAACAAACAGAAATTTAATAGAAGCAGTTTTGTCGTGGGACAAATAATTAATATTAATAATAATAGAGTTCCCATCAGGTAATTAAACTCCATTCTCCCGTGTGACAGGCAGAGTTCCTCACTAACAAAGAGCTGTCAGACATGAGTGTTTACTGGAAGCTATTTGTTCACGTTAGCTCCACTGCCTCCCGCACAGCTCTGTGGTACCTTAAGCTGGTATAATATGGACTTAAATGTTGTATGGCTGATTGGTGGGGGGAGGGGGCATAGTTTTCCTCAAATAATTTATTTGGGGGGACAATCGCTGTTTTTTTTTTTCTGTTTATTTGTTGTTTTTTAATACTCAACTGTCCCATACAAAAGAGACAAACAAACCACAGATTTGCAACTGGTGTCTTCCCTACCATATTATAAAGTAAAAAATGTCATGCTGTCTATTTTTTATTCAAGAAGACAGTGTCCTACAAACCAAGTGTCAAATAAAAAGGTTGAAAAAAATTTGGGGTGCACAGATAAATTGGCACACCTAACCATCACAGATTTTCTTAATTTTGGGTGATTGTAGATCAGCTTCGATAAGATCAGTAGAAAAGATCGGCTTCACATCTACCTCCACAAAGCTCTGAAAATCAGCCACTGTGTCCTTTTTTGTTCTGCTGTGAGCACTACCTAATGTCCAGTTAAAACATGTTTGTGTTGTTTCAATGGTATTGTCCAATGTATTTCAATAACATAAGATTGGAATATTGAAGTTGTTTTGTGACCTTATAACACCTGACAGAGCCAGCTATTTAAAAAATCGGTATCAGCCTAAAACGGAATGGGCAAGTCAGTCTTTTTAAAGACAGGTGGAGAATGGCCAAAAAACTGCAATCGGTGCACCCCTAAATATAATACAAAAAAAGTGATTGTTTAAAATATTTTGACCTCGACTTGATTTAAAATGAAACTCATTACAGAACGGAATAGCATTTACTATGTGAATACACAAAATTAAAAAAGCATTAACACACTTAGCTTCTCAGCTGAATGAAAGCTAGTTTGACTAAATTATGTTTAATATATAAATTGAAATCCTCTACGTCAAGTTGTTTGTTAAAGTGCCAGATTTATGACCTACTTGGTTTGCCATACCGTCACTTGTCGCTCTGTCACCTGAACTTATCATTCCTGCTTTGTTTTTGTGGAGAGTGCTAGTTTAGATCATATCTCTTTTTTGTTGTTTAAAACATATAGTACACCTGCTCTCTAGACGAACATGGTGATTACATGTGATCAGTATGTTTGAATCTTATTCCCCTTTTCCCATCTCGGAGGTTCATTTAATACAATTTTATATAAATACATGGGGTATTCACAAGCTGAAACAATGAAACAGCCTAAAGCTGTCATACTGTAGGCTTTACCTTCACATCTAGATTTTAATGCCTCAATAAAATCAAGGTTACAGATGATCCGTGTTAAAAGGTAATGTTTCATTTTTTACTTTCCTGCCGTCATTACTATTGTGTGAACCTGCTGCCGGGTTTCAGGACAGTGCAGCTCGGAATGATGCTACAGGGGATTTTTGTTGATTGGAGGCTGACTGAAAGGAAGATTGAATAAGATTCTAATTGTTTCTGTATTGTTGGTATTCTATGTCACATCTTCATTCTTGTGTCAGAGTGTGTCTTTGTGGCTTTCATGACATTCACTTAATAAGATGAAATCCCACTTCTCTTTGTCCTCATTGGGCAGTAGGAGTCACAGAATGTCGAATAAAATGTCTCATTTGTGTTCTTTTTTTACAGGTGAAAAATGCAGAAGTTTCATTTATGTGGCACCAGCAAACGAAAGAGGTAAGATTTATGTTGCACTGGTTGAGCAATTTATTAGTGAAATAAAAATTTTTTTGAGTGAATCTTATGCATACATACATACAGACACACACACACACACAC